AGTGATGTAGATGTTTCTTGGCAATTCATTCCTGTTAAAACACCACTTGTGCCACCCCTGAAGTATTTAGACACAGGAGAAAGGAGAAATTCTGTTACAGTTGTTTCAGCCTTAATAGGTGAAATTTCTTACTCAGTTTACAAGAGTGCATGTAACTTATTGTTTATTTAGTATATACATAGGGAAGCAGAAAGTTTGGACCAGGGTAAGAAGTGTTTTTCACATTTGTGTTAGCTGATAACTCTGTATCAAGTCAAGTAATTGCCACTGTTTCCAGTTCCAGGTCAGATAACTTTGTGCCTGGACATGGATGGCAGGCAAGAATGAGGTTATGATCTGAGTACTCTATTAAAAAGGAAAGGAGTTATTTTCTGAAGTCTGAGTGAACTGGAATGCTTGATCAGATCTCTAACTAGTGCATGTCATTCTTAATATGTCTATGACAAATTTGATGATTAATGTTTTTTCTGGGTCTGGATTGCATATGACTCCCTTAAAGAAACCTACATATCCCTACTGCCAATGCTAATTGATCACATCCCTTAATAAACTCCAGAGGAATACAAAGGTTTCTTGGTCTGTTACCATGTTTGACATCAACTATCACTTCTGCTTTGTCTTCTTTCTGTCACATCAGATAAGCTACTGAATAGGCAAGCATGACTAGAAGCCAGAGAGATATGGTAATGTGGGATGGGGGCAAAGGATTTCTGAGGTCTTTTTTTCCCCAGCTGGGTTGTTTAAGGTTACAGCAGGAGCTTCTAAATACTGGTGAGGAAAACTGGTAAGGATCAGGATTTGGTTAAATTGCTTTGCAGGGTGATGCCAAACTGTATGGTGAACTTCAAGAGCTATGATGACAGTATGAGTCTTCAGGGATGATGTGAAGGCAGATTCTTAGGGTATTACTGGTTAGAGTCAGAGTCAAAAAGGAGGGAGGCTCTTAATTATTTCCATAATCCTGGTGGTTAGAGCATTGACAAGAATTTTTCGTTCCACAAGAAAGCTTCTGTGCTGGGCTGCTGCTGTGGTAAAAGTTCTGAGAGAGACAGCAATTAGTACACCTATCTGTGAAAAGCTCTCTGGAGTGACTGAAGGGAAAGCAGTGAATTGGTAACAGTGAATCCAGGATGCATTTGCGATGTGCAGAGCAGCCTTTGACTTGCTGTTTGTGAGAAACAGTGTGGCAGGGACTATTCACCTGCCTGACATTGTGGTGAAAGGCTCCTGTGTAGGACTAAGACTCGAGTTCACAGAGCAGTGTGGGGTATGCTGAGGCTCCAGCCTTGAGTGCTTGATCAGTCTAGTTCTCTAGAGGGTCAGAACTCAGAGTGCTAAGGTTTTTTAAGAGAGCTGGAGTGTGTCTCTACAAGACCTTATCTAGCTCTTGCATTCAGAGATTTACTTTGAACTACCTTGTATTGGCACAGAAAAGCCTCAGGTGCTAAAAGTCTTTGAGAAGTGAACTGCTTTGACTATAGTGTATAATGTAATATGCAGAAATGTTCCAAGTGAAAGTAGTAATAGCAAATTGTGAGTGCCTACAGCCCCATCTGGGAACACTGTGTATTTCTGCCTCCTGCTGAGCTAGGAGTATAGGTCACACCACACATAACTATGAGTGTTGTTCCATGAGAGGACAAAGCTGTGCTTGTCATGCCCAAAAGGGGAGAGTCACTTTCCTTTCTTTGAATCTTCTTGCCTCTGCTTTTGCCATGGCTTGTTAGTTTTATCCTACTTTGAACTAGAATAGATTTTCTGAATTAGAAAATCTTAAGGAGAGCACCTTGGTAGAGTGAATGGATTGTTTGAACTGTATTCAGCAGTTCAAGTGTAAAAGAGCTTTATTTTTCCTTCTTTGTTCTTCTGAATGTATTGTGTTTCATTATCATAGATGTCCATTAAGTACTTTCTGTTCCTTCATTTGCTTGTGGAAGGCAGCTACTCCTGAATAAATTAGGAGAGACAATACAGAGAGAGTAGGATTATGTTGGCATGTGATTGTTGACTCACTTTCCAAAGAAAGAATAGGCTCAATTGTATAATCTTTTTTTTTCTTTTCATTCTAGCACATCGGTTCACTATGTTACTGTTTTTATTGCAGCCTGCTAAGTTTGTAGAACAAGTGGCTTCTTTGAATGTTTAAGCTGACTTATTTTGTAGCATTACACAGTAAAAGTCTCTTTTTAAACGATGAACTCTGATATTTTTAAAAATGCCTATTGGGAAAAGTGCATGGTGAATGGAGTGAAAGGTATGGTGAAATACTAAGTCAGCAGTGAAACTCTTGTATGTAGGTGTGTGTGTTAGGTGTGTTTCTCCACACCTCCTCCATTCAAACACTGTGGTCAGAATGCAAATAAAGAGAACTCCTCACTTCAGAAGGGTGTGTGGCTGATGTAATGCTTACAGGGTGATACTACCCAATGGTCAGTGAACTAAGCTTCAGACCATTTTTAAGACTTTCTTGTGCCATGCTCCCATGCTAAGAGTAAAATATTTGGGTGGGGAAGCTTAGAGTAAACACAGAGGAAACTATTCCTTTTTTAAAAAGTTGTTTTACTTGTAGCAAGAGAAGCTTTTAGACCTGTAAAAACAGAGCGATGAAGAAGAAGGGAAAATGATTGCAAAGTCTGCGTTCCTTGAGGCAAGAAATCCATGCAGAAATGTAGGCACAGGGAGAGTTGAACACTGATAGGCTGTGTGAGGAGGTGAGGAACCTCACATCAGGCTGTGTAGTAATGTTTGAAGGCAAACATGGCCAGAGTGGTTAGGTACAGCTGGAGTAGAGGCAGCAGAGGTAGGACTTGTTGAGTAAAACTCCTCAGAAGAGTCCTTTGGAAGAAATATGGATTGAGGAAACTCAGGTGGCTAGTGAATAATTCTGACAAGTTTCATCTTTAGGCTCAAACTGGTCATTTCATTGAAGCAAAACTAAGTTTTGGATTATACTGATAGAAATAAATATTTTTTTCTTACAAATCCAGGTGTTAAACTTATAGGTAATATAATGTTTCTAGACCTGGGTAAGTACTAGTGCAGGGGTTGCTGGTGATACTAAACCAGTTTCACTACAGGTTGACTATGCTTAATGTCCCAGGTCCTCCTAGATACCTGAAGTAGTATGTCCAGTTTTGGGCTCCCCAGTACAAAAGAGAAATGGAGTCACTGGAGAGAGTCCAGCAAAAGGCCTCCAAGATGATAAAGGGACTGGGGCATCTCTCTTATGAAGAAAGGCTGAGAAGGCCGTGTCCATCTCGCCTGGAGAAGAGAAAGCTCAGGGGATCTCAATCAGTGCGTACAAATACCTGGAGAGGAGGTATAGAGGTGGATGAGAAAGCTCAGGGGATCTCAATCAGTGTGTACAAATACCTGGAGGGGAGGTATAGAGGTGGACACAGGCTCTCTTCAGTGGTACCTAGTGCTGGGACCAGAGGCAGTGGGTACAAATTGGAGCACAGGGGCATCCATCTGAACATCAGGAAATGCTTTTTTACTCTGAGGGTGACTGCATTGACACAGGTTGCCCAGAGGGGTTGTGGAGTCTCCCTTCTTGGAGATACTCAAAAGTCATCTGGACGTGGTCCTGGGTGACTGGCCCTACTTGAGCAGGAGTGGTTGGACAGATGACCTCCAGAGGTCTTTGTCAACCTTGATGATCTTGTGGAGCTCCTCCAAACCAGATTAGTAGCATTTACAACAGGACTGCTTAAGCACTGACTTCATTATGAAATCATATCCCTCCCTTTTGTTTTTGATGCCATTACTGAAAACTCCATACACAAGCATTCTTATTTCCTCTGTTGCTCCAGAATCAGTGAATGTATATGCAGGATTCTCTGCTTGAGACACCTAGGAATCACAGTCACATGGTTACAGTATTACCTCTGCAGACCAGAATCTTTATTGTACTCTTCCTTTCCAGGTAGTTGGAGGCAAGGTAAAGAAACCAGGCAAGCGAGGTCGTAAACCAGCCAAAATAGACTTGAAGGCAAAGCTTGAAAGAAGCCGTCAGAGCGCAAGAGAGTGCAGAGCCAGGAAGAAGCTGAGGTACCAGTACCTGGAAGAGCTAGTTTCAAGCAGAGAGCGAGCCATCTGTGCTCTCAGAGAAGAGCTTGAAATGGTAAGAAACTTATCATTTAACCTCACCCTCAATATTATTTGGGGCCTGTCCTTGTGAACATTTGGTCTTGAAATCACAGTGACTGAAAATGGCATTTGGCTTTCCAGAAGGTATCAAAGCATCAATAACAGATGCATCCAGCTGTCTGCTTACTTTGGTGTGGCAGTTACCTGCTGGTTTTGAACTGGAAGCAAGCAGACAAAGTGCCATTGCATTTGAGTTTGTTGTCTTTGAAAAGTTTGTTTTGAAAAATCTTTGACAGAGGTAGAAAGAGGGACATGTTGGAAAGAGGTGTGTTAAAATATCAAGGGGGAACATATATCCACAGTGTGTCATTGCTTCTCTTTTGGGGAGGTTGATACTAGCAGCATGCTCTCTGTGTAGATGGTTGCACAGCTGTCCTGTTTTCCAGCACATGTAAGATGGGTGTCTTGGCCAAGTAAGCTGCATTAACCAAAGAGAATGTTTTGTGTGGAAATACAGACACAGCTCCTCCGTGATACTGAGATGCCACTGAAATTTCACTGGAGCTGAGGATATTGCTTTTGCCTTGCTTTAGGTGTGTTTGAATAGCAGGGCTAATCACCACAATTGAATAGGTTTAGGATGGGGTGAAAAGTCAGCCAACTGTCCACAGGTTTTTGGTGTGCTTCAGGGTTTGGCAAGGAAGGCTTGAAGTTGAGGGAACTGGGAATAAGGCACATGTGCTGCAGCCATGCCTTGTGCAGTCAGAAAGGACCTCTAATAGTTATCAGCCCCACAGTCATGTGAAATATTTGTTTTTAATAGGCCATGAACTGGAACGGTGTTCTTGCATGCCAGCAGCGAGAAAATGCACAGTGTGTTCCATCTTGTTTAATAATTACAGTATTCTGTCTAGTACTGCCAGTGAGTAGCAGTTTATTGACTGAAACAGGATTTGCTGAGGCCAGGTATGCAACCATGGACACGTGCTTAGCTCGTTAGTGCTCTGCAGTTTCGTAAGAGGCTTCAGCTCAGTAAATTCAGACCTTAAATGAATATACCGGAAGGTAAAGATTACAGCTCTGTTTTGTCTGCTAATGTGATCCTGGCAGTTTGCTAATGCCTAATGTGTTTGCATATTTCAGTACAAGCAGTGGTGCATGGCGATGGACCAAGGGAAAATCCCCTCTGAAATAAAAGCCCTGCTAACTGGAGAGGAGCAAGGCAAAGCACAGCAGAACTCAACCAAACTTGCCAAGGCTGGGAAGATAGAAGCAAACAGCAGCAATCCCTGTAAGTATCATGCCTATGATTAATTCCTATTTTCTTAGATCTTTTGTGGTGTAGGAAGAAACATAAGGATATGCTTTTAGGCACAAATACTTGATGGAAGCAAAGAGCTTAGTGGGTGGTGAAAAGACACTGCAATGTTTATGTGGACAACACAGGAATTACACTAGACAGGAAGCTGGGCAGTTATTTTAAAAGAAGACTCAATCTATGTTTCACCAAGGCCTATGGAAACCTGTGAAGACCTGAGACCTTAATCTTTTAGGGCATTTTCTGTTTTCTTAATGCAAAATAAATGGAGCACATCAAGCATAATTGAATGTTAAAAACTCCACAAGAAAACATTATTGTAGCTGCAAGCACTCAGAAGTGAGAAATGCTGGACTTTGGATTTCCTATGGAGTTTTCTTTCTGCCTCAATTGTGCTTGTCCAGGGGATGGAACAAGGTTCTTCTGGGGATTGGAAGGTGAAAAGATCATGTGATATAAAGTCATGTTTCTGATATGTATATGCAAAGGAAGACAAAGTGTAGCATGAGCAATTCTGTATCTTACTTCTTCTGATTTTGTAATATTTCATGCTACAGGCTGAATGCCACTTTACTGATTTTTTAAAAAAAACAGGAATTCCTAGCTTTATGCCTTTTAACAATCAAGTTGAAAACCACATTTTGAACTGTAACAATCTTCCCCCATGGTGCATCGTTCACAGGAGGACAGTGCCGACCCTTCCGCCCTGCAGCAGAGAGATCGTGGTAGCTCACAGAAGAAAGCTGCTCTGAGAAGTGGATGCAAACCCCAATGCAGGGGAAGGATCCCAGCCTGCTGTCTTCTCTTTGCTCCTCCCCACATGAAACTCTTTGATTATGGTGTTCCTAAGCCTGTGTGGAGTGGGGCTTTTGGGGTAGTAGGTGTTTGTGTAAGTGAAGCCTTGTTTCTTCCTTTCATGACACCACCCTCCCCAAATACAGCTGTGGCAGCTTTTGGGCATTCCCAGAAGGAGATGGGGGCTGCTTTATATCAGAGCCCAGAGCTAGACTGGTTTTGTGTTTGGTAGTTACGTGGTTGTTAACCATCGTGGGAGTCTTGGAGGTTCTGCAGAATGAAAGAGAAGGATCTTGTGACAGCTTTGCTAAAGCTAAATGGAGTCCTGTAGGTCAAGGAGAAGGAACTGGATGAAAAGCTTTCAGCGAGAAGGTTTATAGCAATGTAATTTGTATCGTAAATGAAGATGTGGCTGTTGGCATCCTTTTGTAATGCAGCATGTCTTTTATGTGATTGGGATTCTTAAAGAGAGGTACTAGTTATATTTCCTGCTTCTGCCCGTACTTCTTTCACCAGATGTATCTTCTACCCTCCGTGCTCCCGGTAAGATAAAGTGTGTGTCCCTGCATCTTGCTGTCAACAGGGAAACAACAGCCATTCCTTCCCACCCAGTGTGCCCTGCTATCTTATTTTAGCTACTTACACTTTAGGCCCTAGTGCTTCTCTGACAGCAGCTTAATATGAATTCTGCTGTGCTATCCTGGTTTCCCAACCAAAGATAATGCAAAGAACTGGTAGCAAGGAAAACAAGTTGCATCAGTTTGGTTTTAGGATAAGAAAGGTGATGGCAGAACTCTTGTGGGCTGGTTTACTCATCCCACTTATTGACAGATAACCTGCCACTTTCCTCTTTCTCCTGGATATGCTTTTTGCACTCATATGATGCAGTGTGGAGAGTGGAGCTTTCAGGATTTTCAGTGGGGGTTTTGCTTGCTTATTATATTTTGTTTATGACAACGTCTTTCTCTGTATTTTATGAAATGCATGGAACATTTTTAAATCTTATGCTTTCCTCATTGTTTCATAGAATAAATATTATAATGAAAGACTATGCTAGACTGAATGTTGCCTTCTTTTTATTGAACTAATTGGGTCTGTTTAGCATTATCTCAATTCAGGATGAGTTGAAAGCACTGAAAATAATGAAGTGCTGTATTTCAGTGTACAGCACAGTTGATTTCAGAATTCCATTCTGAACACTGGTATATTGAACCTTAAGGCATGGGTTTTAGTTTGTTCTTTAGACCCTCCAAGCATGTACTTATTTAGCAATTGCTAGAAATGTTGCACAAAGAAAACTATAATGAAAGGCTGAGTAACACTGAAGTAGAGTTGGGGAGGATATGAGGGTCATGTCATGTTGTCCATGTCCTGTCCTGTCTCCATTGTTCCCCTCTGTATTTGAAGTTCTGAACTGCAGTTCAATATATAGCAAAAAAGATAGCAATCAAGTCAGCCCATAAGTTTGGGGTTATTTTTCTCTATGTTGAATGCTTGCCTGTCCTTTTCCTGGATTCTCAGGAGGAAAACACACCCTAGACCAAATGTCTAGAATTTATACTCTGTGAACTTTGTAGTTGGATTTTGTAACATGATCATGCCAGAAGTGTAACATATTATTTTGGCTTAGACTTACACAGTCTACTTTCAGATGTAAACAATACATTGTAATTAAGCATAAATTTCAAATGTTATTTGTATACTTAAGTGTCTTTCTGAGTCAGGGTTGTAGAAAACATGCAGAGGAGTTACAGTATGTGACCAACACAGCTCTGCTCAGCATTAGGTTGTTGAGGAAACTTCCCAGTTTGACCATTCACGAGACTCTCTGACAGTCACACACCCAGTGCCAGAGAGTTTAGCTGCTGGGACTGAAGCCCCTTCACATCTGGTGGCTCCAGTGAGCCTGTGGGTGCCCTGCTTGACTCCCCACACAGCCAGACCAGGTTTCCCCTAGCACTCTCAGATGTCTCATTCCACAAAGCAATTTATTCAGTTTATTCAGCTCGAGCTGGTGCCTTCGAGGAGGGACCCCCAACCAAGGCCCCCTGGGCTTTTATACCCTCCCAGTTTACCCAGTCTTCTGCTCCTGCCCTGCTCTGAGTCCATCCTGGCATGTCGCTTGTGTCATCTATCTTCATCTCCTTTGTTGGCAAGTCCCAGCTCTTGCTGTGTTTCTCAGTGTCCATTCACCTGGTTGCCTCATCTTTCTTCATGCCCTTTGTTATCCCAAAGGTTGACAGTTGGCCTCTTGTCTTGGGCTCCCACCCAGAGCTCAATCTGCATCTCAATCTGCAGCTTCCAAACCAAGCCACCTGTACCAGATGTGTTCCTTAACAAGGTAATGTGACAAAGGCAGCTATGATCTTGCCAGAAATACCCTGCTTGCTTTTTTCTCTCTTTCTTTGTTTCACTTTCTGTGATACCAAACAAGAAGATTCTCAGCAGAAAGTTTTCTTATGTGGACTAAATGGAGAATTGGAATTTCTCACTGTGAAGAGCAACAGTATTCTTCTGTTCCCCATCATTGTGGCTCCTGCTTCTTGGCTTAGTTGGCAGTTGATGTTTCAGAATTGCATTTGGCAAGCCTGGGCCCAGTTCTGTGGCACAAATAGTGACATCCATTTTCTAGCAGGTTTTTTCTACTTCATGCAGATGGACAGGAGGCACATTACAGCCTACATCATCTTAAATGGCTTTCTTGTTTGTCCTGCCAGCAAAAATACATGTGACACATAGTTACAGGCACTAACTGCAGTTTTTCGATCTGCTCTAGGTGCTGTAGTTCATTATAAAACATAGGATTCCCAGGAACAATCATTAATTAAAGCTCTGTGGTTTGCATCCCGTGCCAGACTGTGCTGTGTTATAAATCTTCTGGCCTTAGCTGGATCTCCAGGAGTCCTGTAGTTTGGAGCTTGGAGTTTAGCATCTCCCTTTGAAAACTAGCAAATACTGGTGGTTCATGCTTGTTTGCTACTCTGATGCTTACAGTCTTCATCCACACTGAGGTGGCTCCTAGGAGTGACACAACCAGGTCCTCTGACTGAGGACCCTAAGTACTGGAGGATGGTTTAGTCTTACCCTCTCCTTGTGTAGGATGGGTACTGCCTTCCACACATTTATCCTGCAGTGCGTGAGCGGAGCTGGTTCTCCCTCACAAATTGTGAAGAAAGGAAATAAGCCTGGAAATGCTTCATTTTCCCACTTGCCATGGAAATCTAATGCTTAGCTAGAACCATTTGCCCAGCTAAAGGTGGGTATCTCTTGAAAACTGTCCACAGTCTTGGATAAAGAATGCTGTCTCTACTCTTTGGTGTTTACTACAACACTGGAACTCCTAACAGTAGTGTAGTCAGCCTGAACTCGATGATGGAATAAGCACATTTACACTAATCCTTTTTGGGAATGTAACCCAAGGATGTACCAGACAGTTGCAGCTTCCTAAGAAGAACATGCACTAAGTCTTGTCATTTTCTATGCTGTACATATACTTTGTGCATAGAATTTGACAGGCTCTGACTCAGAGGATTTAGGAATTACCTTTTTTTCCCTCTGTCTGTCCCTCTGTTTTCTTTTTTATTAGTTGTTTTTAAGCAGAATGCAAGTAATGCTAAAATTTAAACATACAATATTTGAGTAGTTTGGAATGAAGCAAACCTGAATGGTCTTTAGTAAGGGAAAAGACCAGTTGCAAAGCTGAACTCTAAGGAAACCAAAATGGCAAAAACCTGAATAAGCAAACACTTGATTAAACAACTAAAAACTTGTCCCGATCACAGCAAATAACTGTTAGCATTAAGAAAAGCACATTGGTAAAATAAATAAAATCAATAATTAATGATTTTACCAATATAAATTAATAACTGTTGGATAT